ACACGGTCTGGGTACTAGTCTTTCGAAACTCAATACTGAAAAAGTGATGGCAAGCATCATAGAAGAAATTAGCTCAGTAACAAGACTCTTTATCACCATTAATTTGACTAGTCAAACGAATTAATCAAGCAAACATCGGCACCTAACTAGTAAGCATGTATAACTATGTGCAAGGGCAGAAATAAATATATTCAGTGAATAAAAGCATACTAAACACACACACACACACATCAAAAAGCAAGATAGACATTCCCATTCACTATGACAGTATTTCATTTTGTTAATTTTGTACTAAAGCTTGAATTTAATAAATGAAGCAAAAGCTCTGCCTTCACAAGAGAGTAATAGGTAACTATTAATTATGTTCTAAGTATCAGAGGTTTATAAGATGAAATCTATTTTGGGTGGCTTATGAATCTACTACCTCCTAGGTATCTACTTATAAAAGCTATATGACATTTGTTAAGGTTCTGTAGTAAAGATTAATAACTCATTTCTTCAACCCTCAATTTCTTCACAGCAGTCTTTGGATATTTATATACTCATAAATCTCATCTTGACTAAAACTAAAATTATATAGTCGAGCTTGTCTGATTGAGATATAACAACTGAACAAAGAAAGGCTCAGTTCATCAAAAGTTTTACTTAGCTTCTGCATAAATGTCAGCATATTTCAGTGGAGTATTATATAATCCAAAGCTATTGGAAAGATACTAACATAAAATCTGATTATAATATATTCCTTCAGTCCCAATTTTTTGGATGTGGATAATTCCAATAGTGTGTCTCTGAGGAGTGATACACACTTAAAAGACTTTAGGAGGCATGAATGTTATTAATCAGAGTTTTCCTAATTCAATAGTGTTCTAGTAGGAAAAGTGCTTGCACTTCACAAGCACTCATATTTGCACTATAAAGTCTAAGTTTCTCTTGTAAATATCTTACAATTAATCCAATTCCATCTACTGTATTGATTTGTCTTGTTTATGTTAGTATTTTAGTAAAATTACCATGTTATACCACTAAAAGAATTAGATAAAGCAGCAATAGCTGTGGTTTTAACCAAGAATCACACTGAGACTGACCAGCTTATGTTGACTTCAAAACAATACAAGAGCCACACACACACAAATGTCAACTGGCAACATCATCAATAGCTAGAATAAGTAAACATGAAACATGCAAAAATATTAAGCCACGATGCTTAATATTTGACATTGTGTTCACAGTCTTCAAAGAGTTCACAGAATATTAGGAAAAGTGGATAATTAAACATCCTATCTAATAAAGAGGGAATATGCTAATTGACTCTCATACTATCACAAATATGGCAGCTCCCACAGCCGATAAGGAGGGAATATGCTAATTGACTGCTGTGACCTCAAAGATGGTGGCACTCACAGCCATAAAATGGTGGTACCCAGTCCCCTCAGCCCCCCAGCCGCCCAGGGCTGGCCCAAGATGCAGGCAAGCCTTGGATAGTGGCTGCCCAGCCACCCTGGGCCTCCCGAGGCTCAGGTAACCGGGGCCGGCGGAGGCTTGCACTGCCAGCAGTAGCAGCAGCAGAGGTGTGATTGGCATTGCCTTCCCCTGATTGTCAAGTCGCCTTCCATTCCTGAGGGCTCCCAGACTGTGAAAGTGAACAGGCAAATTTTCATGCACCGGGCCTCTAGTATAATTATAACACAATGTAATAAATCCTATGACATCAAAAGTTCTCACAAAATCAAGTAGAAAGACATAGAAAAAAATGGGAACAAATCATTCAAATAATAGTTATCTCTGAAAAAAGTCAGTTTCTGCTACTAATTTTACTAATCCATTTGCTTAACAAATATATGCATGTCTATATATGCTAGCCACTTGGGTTGGTAATTATGGTGAGTAAAGTCAAGCATGGTGACCAAAGTCTCTCTCCTCACATAGCTCATGGAGAGGTGAAAGAGACAGATTTTTAATTAATCACTCAAATGACTGTAAATGTTCAAGTGCTATACATGATAGGAAGTAGAGCATGTAGAAAAAGATTAGACAGAAGTTAGAGGTATGTTTCCTGAGGAAGGAACAAGAGGGCTGAACCTGGAAAATGACAGGAAATAACTAGAGGGAGAGTATTGAAAAAGCACTCCAGGGAAGTGGAGCATTATGTGCAAAACCCTGGTGGGAGGAAGCAAGATGAGAATAATGCACTGAGAGGACTCGATGAGAGAGATTATGATGTGCTATGAAGTGGGTAAGCCAGTGGGACAAATCCATAAAGTTCTTTAAGTACAGAAAGGTACCTTATTTTTCTTTATCATAAGGAAGGGGACATAGCTGCTTGTCCTAGGTCCATCAGGGTAAAGTGGTACCATGGAAACAAGTAGCTGGATTCCACAGATGTTAGAAATTGATTAGGAAATGACATCTGAGCCTAAACTAGTTTGACTCAGTGGACAGAGCATCAGCCTGCGGACTGAAAGGTCCCAGGTCCCGGAAGGTCAAGGGCATGTACCTTGGTTGCAGGCACATCTCCAGTAGGGGGTGTGCAGGAGGCATCTGATCAATGAATCTCTCTCATCAATGTTTCTAACTCTCTATCCTTCTCTCTTCCTTTCTGTAAAAAAATTAATAAAAATAATTAAAAGAAAAGAAAAGAAAAGAAATGACACCCTAGTTTTCTGGCTTAAGTAGCCAAATGGATAGTTTTGCTCAGAGAGGAGACTGGGTCTTAGAGAGAGAATCTTAAGTTTGATTTTGAATACACTGAGTTTGTGATGTTTTGAAGGTGGTAAAGAGGGTATGTGAAGGGAGCAGCTGGGTCTGAAAATCAGAAGTAAGGTATGGGCTGTGTGTACAATTCATGTAGCATCAATACTTAGGTGATAATTGATGAGATGATCATTAGAGGATGTACAAAATTATAAGAGGAGAGGCCTGGAACAAAACAGGGGAGACTCCCAAGTTCTAATTACATTTAGGAAAATTTATTGTGATTCTAACCTCTATTTTTCCCTAGATTCCATTGTTCAGTTTCACACGTTTAACAAAAAGCTTATTTGATGTTTGTATGTGTTACATTGTCAGGTAAATACTAGAAGGGGTCAATGGGTGAAAAAGGTGACATCTGTATTATTTTCAGCAATAAAGGTAATTTAAAAAAATAATAGTCTATTAAATAATACATTTCACTGTTTAAAAATAATTAATTATGTATGAAAAGTTTAATTTCACAGAAGAGTTTTCTATATGCATTACTGTAATTCTAAATGTATACTGAAAAGCCCACTAAGTTTATCAGTCACCTCCAGTAAATAAATGCACAGGGCTGGAGCACGGCTTGGTACACGTGGGAACATCAGAGGGTGGGTTGGCTTGGTACACTGGGGAACATCGGAGGGTGGGTTAAAACTGCTGCAGAGGAATCTCAGAAGGAAGGGGGAGGAAGGTGGAAAGAGATGAACCAAAGAATGTATATGCATATATGCATTACCATGGACACAGAATAGTGTGGTAGGCCTAGGGGGGACGGATGCCAGGTGGAGGGGACCAATGGGAGGAGGAGAAGAAAAAGTTATGTCCTTTCCAATTCAATAAACCAATTCTATGAATGAAAAGTGTATTGTTCCATTATTTAAGAATAAATTATCCAGGTATAACATTATATTTTGTATTATTAGTTATATTTTTATTTGGTGTTACCGGCTACCTTTAAATAATATAATACCATTGTTTATATGGTGTTTTAGAAGTTTCTTACACAACTCAGTTGTTTCCTATAAGTATAGAAAGCACAAGTTAATTACTTAAGCTAGATTCAGTAAAATTTCTTAAATTTCTTTTCATGAAGACGTTTAGCTGACTGAAATAATGCTGAAGCATTAATATCATTATGACTACTTTTATAAAGCAAAATACATTTTGCTTCAGAAATCAACAATTGTATTTAAATGATGCTTTATGCTTTACAGTTACTTTCAACTTAAAACATAGCTCTCATGAAATGCTTGAATGTATTATTTTTTTCATCCTTGATATTATTTTCATTATGAAGTTGTGAATGTTCTTTAAAGGATGCAGAGAATAAAGGAGAAACAAGACAGAATTTTTTAAAAGGTCATAAATCAAACCTCTTGGAAAGTCATCAACTGCATTTTTTTTTTAAACTCACATGTTCTAAAATAGAACTAAAGCCAGTCATAAGGACAAGTGGGATAAAAATCAAACCTTCTTTCCATCTCTGTATCATTCTGTTACTAATGCATTATATTTAATTATATCTTAAGGGTTAGATTTGGCAAAATATCAATATATTATCAACATATACAGACTTTATAAAAGAAAGAAAGTGGGCAATTAATGTGGTTAAATTAATAATGAAATTCATATATAATTTTGTAAAAGGATTATAAATGTTTATTTCTCAAAAATTTTCTAAACATTTTAAATGGCTTTATACTATCTTAGATTTGAAAGCTTTTAAAATATTTTATCCACTTTATGAGTTGATATATGATCATCAATTAATGAAGTCATTTTTATCATAATAAAATGTCATCATTAAAACTGCAGAATTCCATTCTAACCATTTTCTAAAGAATATGATTGGGGGTATTTTAGGTAGTTAAATATTAAAATGATCTAGCAGAAAACGAGACTTTGAAATTTCTCATTTTGATTGACAAACTGAGGAAAATGGCTTTGTTATATAAGTACATGTCTATCAATCAATTTTTGTAGATATTACTTTCATTTCTGAGGAGGAAAGTGTAAAATTTATATTGTCTTTGTTTTACTTAACTAGTAAATATGATGATTTTTTATTCTCTATGTTCTAAATGTAGCTGTTATTACATTATCTCCATCAATCAAATTCTTCAAGTGATTATGCAGTGTGCATTCTTGTAGGAAAGGCCTTCAGTTGTATCATTGTTGTAGTTTTACCTTACCCTTGTCACCAAAGAACAATGTTCTTTTATAATAAAAATCCTACTTCTGTTTTAATTTTTTTGTAATTATAGAAAGTACATTGCCATTAAACATGAATTTATCAAGAATACTGATTACAGTACCTCATGGACTAGTTGAAAGCTCAGAATGCAAAATAATAGTTGCCACAATCACAAGTTGAATCAAACATTCCAATGAGTTGAATAAAGATTTTTATCTTCATTTTATGAATGAAAAAATTGAAGCTCAAACTGATTACCTGAGTTCCTCACAATTATACAGGCAAAAACTGAACTCAGCTTCTTGTCTTTTGATTACAAACAGCTTCAAATGCAAGTTATTTATTATTAACTCACAGTAAGTAAGTAAGTAAGTAAGTAAGTAAGTAAGTAAATAAATAAATAAATAAATAAATAAATAAAACTTAACTCCATCCCCCATTATTTGGGGGGGGGGGGTGTTCTTTATTCAAACACAAATGTGAACAACCACCTCTACTCTCTGGTGGGAAAACCTTGGTGTTGCCTCCACTCTTAATACAGTTTTACTTGATTCACTTATGATATTTTTGTTTTATTTTGTGTTTTATTTCATCTGTTTGGTAGCCCTCAGATGCTGGAAGATCTGAGATCTATAGAGTATGGGACAACGCTACAATCAAAATCTACTATCAGAAAATACTAACTGGAGATTAGCTTTTCTGTAAGATGCTTTGTTCCACTGTAGTCTCTGGGTGTATGTAGGATATTAAATGCGCACTGTCCTGAAGAGCCCTAGACCTTTTCCCTAGGGGAGATTTTAGTTTCCTTATACCACTGCTGCTGTCTTTGTGTTTCTTTCCTAAGAATCTCTAACTCCTTTTCATAAGAGAGAAAGGAAGGATGGGGAAGGAGGTAAAGGGAGAAAGTATTATTTTCAGCTTGGCTTGTTTTATATAAATATCATGTCTATTGTATTTAGTATTTTTTAACTTTGTGCTCTCAGGGATACATTTAAGAAATGAACAAATGCCTATAAAAAGGTGGCAAGAATTGAAATAACAAAATGTTACTAGTAAGAACTTTCTCTTGTGTCAATTACTTTTGAGAAATAAAAAAATCAACATGGTAGGTAATAGTGTAGCCTTGAAATATGTGGAAAGTATTTTACTGTTACTTCTGAGGAGAAAATCCAGGATTCTATTTTCCATATAATCTTAGCAGACAATCCAATTAAAATAAGACTTGACTTTTTTATTGAAAACTAAAATGAGAAAACAAAAATGCATTGCAAAATATTTTAGCCTGTTAAACTTTTATCAATTATTTATGATTATTCTGAGGCAGTTAAAATAATGACTTCCTCAACAATAAAGATGCCTGCATAGTCATACTCCAACCTGTGGATATGTAAGCTTACATTATAAAAGGGACTCTGTGGGTGTGATTAGATTGAGGAGTTTTACATGGAGAGATTATTTTGTATTATTTGGATGGGCCCAATGTAATCTCCAGGGAGGGTCCTTATTAGGGGGAGACAAGAGGATCAGAATTGAACAGGAGGAGATGTGGCTCTGGTTGCAGATGCCTCAGTGATAAACGGGGAGCTAAGGAACATGGGCAGCAGGTAGAAGCTGGAAAAGGCAGGGAAACAGGTTCTCTAGCAGAGCCTCCAGAAAAAGAGTCCCTGGTGCTACTTTGACTTTAGCTCCGTGAAAAAGATTGCAGAGTTCTGCCCTCTAAATAAGGTAACGTGTGCCATGTTAAGTCTAAAGATGTAGAATTTTATTGCAGCAGCAATAGAGAACTAATATGTATGTACTGCTTTTAAATTTAATTCCAAATTCTATTTTCTCATTGTAGCACTAGGAATTTTGTTGATGGCTTTTAAGAAACACCCTGCACGGCCGAAACCGGTTTGGCTCAGTGGATATAGCGTCGGACTGCGGACTGAAAGGTCCCGGGTTCGATTTCAGTCAAGGGCATGTACCTTGGTTGCGGGCACATCCCCAGTAAGGGGTGTGCAAGAGGCAGCTGATCGATGAATCTCTCTCATTGATGTTTCTAACTCTCTATCCCTCTCTCTTCCTCTCTGTACAAAATCAATAAAATATATTTTAAAAAAAGAAAAGAAAAGAAACACCCTGCATGGATATGGTGGCAGCATAACATTTCCCTATAATAGTTGAAGAAAATCCTAATAGAGGTCAGTTCTCTAAATCTAACACCTTGAACTTCTCAATGCTATTAAATATTCCAGGGAAAAAAAGTTATAAAGGAAAATATTCTTCCTTTCTTCTTTTCTATCTTCCTTTGTTCTTTTCTTTCTCTTTGTCCCTCTCCCTTCCTTCCTTCCTTCCTTCCTTCCTTCCTTCCTTCCTTCCTTCCTTCCTTCCTTCCTTCCTTCCTTTCTTTCTTTCTTTCTTTTTCTTTCTTTCTCTTTTAGCATAATCTCAAGAAAGTGTAGATGACAGATGAAAATGGAAAACTAGACAGAAGTCAGCTCATAAAGAAGAATAAATATCACCCTTATAGTACCATAAAATGTACCATAAAATGCCTTTAGGAGGATGGTAACATGATCAACTAGTATTTCAGAAATAACTCTCAAATAACAATATGGAGACTGAATTATGGAAAAGCCAGACTGGGCACAAAAGGTATATTCAGGAATTTTCAGTAACATGTCAGGAGAGAAGAATAAAGGGTCCAAGTTAAATCAATAATATTTAATATTTAAAAGATAAGTCAAGTATTATCCCTAATATAGAGGAATTATATATATTATATAATGACTTCTGATTCATTTATACATATAGTGAAGAGGAAGAAGGAGTCACATAAGATGCTTAAATATGAAAGGGGAACTTGGAAGAAGATGATAGTTATCAAAATAAGGAGTTGAGGCAACATTTTAATGAAAAGATAGTAATTTCGATGAAATCTGAGTGTCTCCCAAGAGGGAGATCTGGTAAATAGTTAAATGTGTGGATTTAGAAATACAGATTTTGTTGCCAGCCTAGAAGAAGTCCTTGAATCAGAGTTTTAGATAAAGCTACACAGGATGAAAATTACAAAGATAAAAGACCTCAAGTAAAGACCTCTGAGGAACACCAGCATGCAATACACAGGAAAGACTAAAGGAATAGAAAAAAAAAAAAAAAAAAAAATCTTTTTAGTGACAAAGACAAAATAAGTAAGAAAGAAGTGTTAAAGAGTCCAATGCTACAGGGATGGGGGAAGAGAAAGAGCAGAAGCTGTTGCTGACAGACTGGGAAATAATTGGGTCACTGGTGTTCCTCAGGAGAAGGTTCTCAGAGGCGGTGAGAATGGAAGTCTGCCTGCAGGGACAGGAGGGGCATGGAGAATTGTAAATAAGGAGACCTCAGGGCTCAGCACTTGTGCGTTTTCTTCTCTCCCCACACTCTCTCAGAGGAAGCATCTGTTCTCAGGATTTCAAACACCTCCTACATGCCTGACTCCCAAATCTGCATTTCTGTTCAGATGGCCTGTGAGGATGGGCCCTGGAATATAGAGGTTTGAGAAGTAAATTTGAGCTGCCACAGGACTCCTCACAAGGCACCTTCTCCTCTTCTTTGCACCGTGGATGCCATCTATTCTCACAGCTGTAAACACAACTTACTAACAGAAGAGAGAGAGAGAGAGAGAGAGAGAGAGAGAGAGAGAGAGAGAGAGAGGTTCTTTGAAAGACTGACTTCTTCTAATCTCTCAAAACTTGATTATAATGTCTCCTAATTCGTTTAAATGGATTATGTCATGTCAAAGGACACACAGCTAATAGTGGCAAGATTTGAACCTAGGAAGTCTAATTACAAAGTTTATATTCTTAATCAGCTTTTAAAATTTTGGAATACTTGACCACAAAATGAGAAGTCGTGGGGGACTTTAGTTAATTTAGATAGCACTTGGATTAATAAATGGGAGTGTTGTTGTTGTTGTTGTTGTGTGTGTATGTTCGTGTGTTTGGGTATAGAGACTTCATGTTTACATGTACAGGGTTACATTTAATTAAGAAGAGGTAGTAGATATAAGTAAGAAAGAATGACTGAATAAGTAAGTGACTGGAAAACAGATGTTGATTGGGATCTAGTTTTGACAAAAGCATCTTCTTTCTATGAAACAGGAAAAGAAAGAAGAATGTATCTTAATAAAGATATTTTTAGATTTCCAGGAGGGAGTTGAAAATATTTTCTTTCTAAATTAGATTTTCTCAGTAAATTTATAGGCAAATTCATCTGCTGAGGGAGTGGATAGAGGTGATGAGATATAAAGTTGGGTGAGAGAAATAAAGTGTATAAAACCTACTAAATGGAAAAAAGAAAAGGAAGGTCCCACTAAAACGGAAGATCACAAAAGTTGTTAAGTCCTCAATCTGGATATTGTCCTGGACTGTTTTTGCCAGAAGCCAATTCCAGCACGTCAGCAGGGGCTGAATCATCTGGAAATGGCTGAGGGCATTTCCCCAAATCTGGAAAGGATGCATAAAATGATTGTCTGCTGTCAGTCAACTAAGGGCATCTTAATTATATGTTATTGCCTCCTACTGGCCAAACATCTAAATAACTGTAGGCAATTCACCAATCTGACAATGGATTCTGTGTACCAAACCTTGGCCTTTGAAGTGTATATCTAACTTGCCTTAGTACAATTTGTGTTAATAAAAAGCAAGGAGTCCTGAGACAAGGAGAATGTAATTCCTTTAACTAAGTTTTCTCTGGCCCCCAAATGCCTTCCAAAATTATGTTTCATCTTTGGACTCTTTAATAATTTATACACAGTGCTTCTCTGGATTCCTGAACCCTTCTAGATGGTGGGTTGAGAACACTAGCTTTACTTTTCTTTGATGGCTCTCTCCCCCTCTCCCTTCCTCTCTGAAATCAATAAAATATATTTTAAAGTAACAACTATGTTAATAATCATACATAGGGATAATAATGGCATACATTGCTGGTGAATATAGAAAATGTTGCTTTGTGTCAGGCACAGAGCTTGGAGCACTAGCCAGTCTCACCTTGCATAATCCTCACAACAAGCCAGTGACGTGAGCAGCATTGTTCTCTGTGCTCTGCACATCAGAAAGTGAAGAGAGTGCATAGGTTAAAGAGCTCTAAAGCAAAGCTAGGGCTCCAATCTCCACTGGTCTCCCTACTGAGATTTTGTTTTGCAACAGAATAATTATTAAAAGAAGCTGATTCCATTTCAAATTTAAAAATGTATTTAAATAATAATACCCAGTGCTGAACAGGGAACAATGTAACAAGCAGCAGCATGAGTTGTTGCCAGAGAGGTAAATTTGTACATTTTCATAGCCAACAGGAATGATCCTTGAGGTGTAAAACATCTGAAACATCA